ATCGGCAAAATTTAACATTTCCGCCAATTTGAGCTCAATTTCAAGCCATTTCCAGTGCTAACACCAATCAAAATTATCTCTATTTCTGTAATATGTCTTCCATTCTATCAAATGAGACCAAGAAATCACAAATACAACTATAAAAAACATACGAAAAAACACTGCAAAGTCGCTGTTTTAATAGAAAATCATGGTCTCAGTTTTTTTCTCTCATTATACACGGTGTGCTGCAGGATTTGTTTTATGTGGTGCACACATACCACATAGATGTATTCTCTCATATCTAGGCCCAAATTTACCACTCACAGTTTATCAGAGTGAGCTGAGCTCATGACGTAGATCTACGGTTTGGACCCTGAACGTAAAGCCGTTGATCTACGGGACGGACCCTGAAAGGGTTAATAAATGTATGAAAGAGGGGAAGGTACCTAGGGATTGGCGGAGAGCATGTATAGTCCCTTTATATAAAGGGAAAGGGGACAAAAGAGATTGTAAAAATTATAGAGGAATAAGTTTACTGAGTATACCAGGAAAAGTATACGGTAGGGTTATAATTGAAAGAATTAGAGGTAAGACAGAATGTAGGATTGCAGATGAGCAAGGAGGTTTCAGAGTGGGTAGGGGATGTGTAGATCAAGTGTTTACATTGAAGATATATGTGAAACAGTATTTAGATAAAGGTAGGGGAGTTTTTATTGCATTTATGGATTTAAAAAAGGCATATGTAGAGTGGATAGAGGAGCAATGTGGCAGATGTTACAAGTATATGGAATAGGTGGTAGTTATAAAGGGCTGTTAAGAGTTTTTATGGGATAGTGAGGCTCAGGTTAGGGTTTGTAGAAGAGAGGGAAAATACTTCCCGGTAAAGTAGGTCTTAGACAGGGATGTGTAATGTCACCATGGTTGTTTAATATATTTATAGATGGGGTTGTAAAAGAAGAAAAATGCTAGGGTTTCGGGAGAGGGGGGGGGTTAAATTATGGGGAATCAAATTAAAAATGGGAATTGCCCACAGTTATTTTTTTTTTTCTGATGATACTGTGCTTATGGGAGATTATAAAGAAAAATTGCAAAGGTTAGTGGATGAGTTTGAGAATGTGTGTAAAGGTAGAAGTTGAAGTGAACATAGAAAAGAGTAAGGTGATGAGGGTATCAAATGATTTAGATAAAGAAAAATTGGATATCAAATTGGGGAGGAGGAGTATGGAAGAAGTGAATTTTTTCAGATACTTGGGAGTTGACGTGTCAGCAGATGGATTTATGAAGGAGGGGTTAATCATAGAATTGATGAGGGAAAAAAGGTGAGTGGTGCGTCGAGTATATGTGGAGTCAAAAAACGTTATCTATGGAGGCAAAGAAGGGCATGTATGAAAGTATAGTAGTACCAACACTCTTATATGGATGTGAAGCTTGGGTGGTAAATGCAGCAGCGGGGGAACGGTTGGAGGCCAGTGGAGATGTCCTGTCTAAGGGCAATGTGTGGTGTAAATATTATGCAGAAAATTTTGAGTGTGGAAATTAGGAGAAGGGGAGTTAATAAAAGCATTAGTCAGAGGGCAGAAGAGGGGTTGTTGAGGTGGTTTGGTCATTTAGAGAGAATGGATCAAAGTAGAATGACATGGAAAGCATATAAATCTATAGGGAAGGAAGGAGGGGTAGGGGTCGTCCCCGAAAGGGTTGGAAAGAGGGGGTAAAGGAGGTTTTGTGGGGCGAGGGGCTTGGACTTCCAGCAAGCGTGCATGAGCGTGTTAGATAGAGTGAATGGAGACGAATGATACTTGGGACCTGGGGATCTGTTGGAGTGTAGGCAGGGTAATATTTAGTGAAGGGATTCAGGGAAACCGGTTATTTTCATATAGTCGGACTTGAGTCCTGGAAATGGGAAGTACAATGCCTGCACTTTAAAGGAGGGGTTTGAGATATTGGCAGTTTGGAGGGATATGTTGTGTATCTTTATACGTATATGCTTCTAAACTGTTGTATTCTGAGCACCTCTGCAAAAACAGTGTGTGTGGTGGAAAGTGTTGAATGAAAGATGAAAGTATTTTCTTTTTGGGGATTTTCTTTCTTTTTTGGGTCACCCTGCCTCGGTGGGAGACGGCCGACTTGTTGAAAAAAAAAAAAAAAAACTGACAGAGACAATTCATTTTGTCAACAGATGACGTAAACTTACGGTATCGATACAGTAAAATGTACTGTAAATGTATTTTCTCTCCTTTATGATTTTCATAACATTTACTTTTCTCTAGCTTACTTTATTGTAAGAATACAGTATATAATACATAAACAGAATAGTGTTAAACAACTGCTCATGTTATTGGTAAGACTTCCAGTCAACAGTAATCTATTAGTAGTTAAGTTTTTGAGGAGTCAAAAGTTATACATGGGTCAACTGTATGTAGCACATTTATTTTTTATTCTATTGTTCGACTTGCTGGGTTATCCTGGGGTTAAATATACTTAGTGTGCTTTTTTGGCTGAATCCCCTTGTTAATATCATGAAATTGTAGAAGCTTGGAATGAAGAGTCATATTTGTGACACTTGTACGCTTGTTTGTTGGTCGGAAGCTGGTGGCGGGAAAAGCTCCTGGCTTCATTTTTACTTATGCTAGTTAGGTGTACTAGTACATCAGACACACAGTCATCACTGTGTTTACCTGGAGTTTACCTGGAGAGAGTTTCGGGGGTCAACGCCCCCGCGGCCCGGTCTGTGACCAGGCCTCCTGGTGGATCAGCGCCTGATCAACCAGGCTGTTGCTGCTGGCTGCACGCAAACCAACGTACGAGCCACAGCCCGGCTGGGTCAGGAACTGCCTTTAGGTGCTTGTCCAGTGCCAGCTTGAAGACTGCCAGGGGTCTGTTGGTAATCCCCCTTATGTGTGCTGGGAGGCAGTTGAACAGTCTCGGTCCCCTGACACTTATTGTATGGTCTCTTAACGTGCAGTGACACCCCTGCTTTTCATTGGGGGGGGATGGGGGCATCGTCTGCCAAGTCTTTTGCTTCGAAAGTGAGTAAATTTTCGTGTGCAAGTTCGGTACTAGTCCCTCAGGATTTTTCCAGGTGTATATAACATGTATCTCTCCCTCCTGCGTTCCGGGGAATACGGGGTTAGAAAACCTCAAGCGCTCCCAGAAATTGAGGTGTTTTATCTCCGTGTAGTTAACCATGATGCAGTGTGGACCCTCTTGCCTTAGGTGTTTTTCAAATGCATCACTAGATTGTAGAAGACCCAAGGAGTTGTGACGGGGTTTTAAAAATACATGTACAACTTATTGGAAAGTGGCAGTTTTTGAAGGTAGAACAACTGTGCATATTAGTATGCTGGACACAGTTGTCAATTGCATACTAGTATGTTGGAACATAAGTCACCAGTTGCATACTATACGTTGGACACATTCATCAATCGTGTATTAGTACACGTGATACTGTTTAACCCTTTCACTGTCCATCACAAAGAACTACATCTTTGGGGTCAGGGTCCCTGATGTAGATCTACATCATGAGCTCAGCTCACTCAGATAAGCGTGAGTGGTAAATTTTGGCATAGATACAGAGAATGTGTCTGTTTTATAGTTTTTTTAAAAAAGTGTGACTCATTACTGGGAGCCAAAACCATGACCAATCATCCTGGCTATATTTTATTATCCAGAAAATAGAGCGCATCTTCTAATTTTGTGTGATTATGAATTCATAATGGAAGGCAAGTGTAATATAGGAGAGGCCTGGGGACGTAATTAATGTATAAAGAAAATAGTGTTTTCGTGCCAGGAATGTCAACAGTCTTACTTTGCAATCTATTTTTAAACTGGTATTTTAAATCTGTAAAACTGGCCAAAAATTTTTGACTTCTGTGCACTTATACAGTAGTTATAATAGTTTTAAAAGGGTATTTTTTGTGGTCATTTGATAGAACGAAAGGCATAATAAGAATCTGGTTGAACGGAGTAATCAAGCTGACATAAAATAAAAGTCAAAGTGGGCAAAATCGCCAGTGTGAAAATTGTGTCTAATACACTAACTTCATGTCTATGTTATTCCATAAGTTGTCAATCAAATTTCATACTTTTGGTGTTTTTTTTTTTAGAAAAGTATTCTTTACCATTTCAGAAGTAAAAAAAAAAAAAAAAAAAAAATATAGGACACTGGAAGCAATATTAATATCAGGAGTCTGAACAGTAAGAAAGAGTTATAGGGTAAACAAAACCTAATATAAAAAAACTAGTGTACATAGTGTTAAACATTAAAAGCAATTAAAAAACAGAAAAACAACCATAATTTGGCATCAATAAAATGTAAATAGAACTGGCATGTTTACGGCACTGCTGCTGATTCGTGATCATTGTTTCACTAAATTCAACACCATAAAATCATGAGTATTTATTGGATTCTGCTCATTTTAGTCTTATTTGACTCAGAAAAAATAATTCTATAATTTTTTTCAAAATTTTCCCACAAACAAGAATTTTTATTTTTAGGCATGCCACATTTTAGAGGTTAAGCGGACATGTTGAGCCTTGTACAGCCAGATTTCTTGTTCAGTCTATTTGATATCCAATTTATAGCTCTTTTTTATCAAGCTTTCACTGTACAACATTTGGAAACAATGCATTTTATCAAATGAAATTCTGAATTGGCCGTTGTTATTACGGTCCGCTGGGACAAATTGACCTACAGAGTTCATTACTACTGGAATCTGCAACAGAAATGAACAATAACATGGCTCTACAATCATGGCTTGTTTTTTTTTTTTTTTTTTTCAACAAGTCGGCCGTCTCCCACCGAGGCAGGGTGACCCAAAGAGAAAGAAAATCCCCAAAAAGAAAAAAACTTTCATCATCATTCAACACTTTCACCTCACTCACATAAAAATAATCTTGCCATTTTGATTTAACAATCGTCTATAATAGACATCTCCACATCTCCCCCTCCATTAGTGCACTAAATCAAGGGTTCAGTTACATTTTATAGCTAAGAATTAATAAACGAAAATGTCACTTACTTTCTCCATGAGGATGACCAAGAACTGGCTTGCCATGACATCCATGTATGTTCTTATTTTTCGAATTTGAAACAATCGGGAAATGATGTGCGACTGCATCTCTGAGGTGGTGTTCGCTTGACCCGAGCGAATAAGCGCACCATAGGCCAGAATTTCCCCCATGATCCTGTCCTTGGCATCCTGCAGCACCAGTCAAGAGTATCAACATATTAAACACAGTTTGTTGAATAACTAAGGTGTAATGAACGCTTGTCAATGTTCAGTATTAATCCACATGGAGACAGAAACCTAGGAGATTAATTGATCAATATTTTGACCCCCTTCTGGAATCTTCTGTTGAAGAGGACCCCAGAAGGGAGTAGTAATTTACAGATCAATTAATCTCCTAAGTTTCTGTCTCCATGTGGATTATTATAGAGCAGAGTGTATCTTAACTACTGCATGAAGCATATGCATTATTAAGTTTATAGGTACTACAGTATCAAGACAAAATAATGTCAACAGGCAATGAAATGAAAAATAAAGTCTCACACATTATATATTAGTGAAAAGTTTCTGAATCTGAACACTAAAATTTTACTTTGAACAAGTACGTAACTTTAAATATTTACAAAATAGGGAAACATTATTATCAATCACAGTAATAATATAAAAGCCTAGGGATTTATGGATTAAACAGAAGATACAAAATGTAGATGATGATGATGTAGATATTATAGCCAGTATCCTCAAAAATTACAACAATGGAGCAGATGTCATCACCTAATTGACACACACAACAAATCTGGATAAATGGCAAGTAAGCGAAGTAAGTGAATTACAATGCAAACACTTGTAATATATAGATTATGCAACAGACAATTATATCAAAGAAAGAGCAGAGGGGATTATAAACAACAGGTTATCACTGGAAGGCCACAGAAATACTGTGGTGACAAACTCTCATGTTATTATAGTGGAAACCAGGTATGGGACAATACCAAATTCTTGCCAATACTGATACTCAGTTTTAGGCCGATACCACCAAAATTAGCCAATATCCATCGATATCAATACCGATACTCAGTTTTAGGCCTGTACTATTATGGTCTGGGAACATTGGGAAGCTATTAAATTTAGACTGCCTTGTGTACTGGTCAACACTAGACAGGTCTACCACTGACAACACTGGAATATGAAACATCAGTACGGTGTTACAACCTCAGTACTTACATGTTTACTAACAGCTTCATTGATATATTTCTCAATAACAGCTTCAAAGGTAAGCATGACAGTAGAGGGTTGAAGCTGCAGTAATGCTTGAAGCGTAGTGTAGAAGCCTTCTCGTGCTCGTAACCTATTCGACCTTAACCCACCAACCAGTCGACGAATGATATATTTAATATCATCTGCCAGCTCAATTTCCTGTGAAATACAAAATATAAGGTCTATAATGAAAATACAATAAGCAAAAGTTATTTTCACAGTCATGAATATGTTAAGTATCCAGTATAGTAACAACAGAAAACTCTCTTACAATTTTCAAGTTTCTTTAACCCCTTCAGGGTCCAAGGCCAAAATCTGAAGTGGTGCTAAAGTGTCCAAGAAATTTTGAAAAAAAAAAAAAATTATTTTTCTTACAGAATTAAAGAGCATATTTTTGTGAAGGTAAAAACAAAAAAAATTCGATCATATTACCGGACACAGTCCCAAAAAGTTTGTCAAAAATGATGTGGTGGGGGGCAACATCGACGAATTCCAAACGCCTTACATTTTTTTGCTTTTTTGTTTTTTTTCTTTTTTTTTCCCAAATTTTTTTTTATTCCTACTAACATTTGGGGCCTGAGAACCAATACTGTTTTAATTTATATATAACTCACTGTATTGAACACAAAAACTGCACAAAAAGTTTTATCATTTTATTGTTTACCACTTTTTTTGTTTTTACAATAAACTTCAAAAATAGTATAATCTAATGTTCTATCATTTTTTACATATTTAAATCACTGGAAGGTTTTTAACGCGGGGCTTGTGGAATCCTTAAAACAAGGCACCATGCCAGGGGCACAAATTTCCCTCACAAAAAAACCAAAGTCCCCTTTGCGTTTTTTTTTGTCGTCTTTTTTGTTTGGCACAGCGATGCTCTTTCGAGCAAATTTTTCTGAGTTGAAGGAAGTTGTTTATAAAAGATCCCCTTTCCCCCCCCTAAAACGTTTTGGGTTTTCCCTGGGGAAATTCGAGGACCGTGTTGAACAGGTGTTTGTTACCTGGACTTCATTTTTTTTGTCTGACAACAGAAAACAAAATTCACCAACGGTGGTCGTTCCCCGTCTTTATTTGGTAAATTATATCATTAGCTTTGAAATGCCGGGAATGGAAGAAAATTTTCATGTCCATTGTAACTCTTACGAACACAGCAAAAAAACCCCAATCTGCATGCCATTTGTAAACCAACGCATGTTTTGTTATAATAAACCCACTGTCCTGGTTTTCGAATAGTTCATTATCCCCCATAAACTTTCCACGTCTTGCATTTCATTACGGTAAAGGGTTTTCACAATGTGCATCCTTTTCATGCCCCGAAATGCCATGATGTCTTGGAGTAAACACCGCACTATCACCAGAGCCCCTCGTTGAGCCGGGGGCATATGTTTACGATTAGAATGCACGTGCCACATCATCTTCTTGTTCACTCGCAAAAAATTCACTGATAAGGCTTGTGTACCAGTTATGGTATTAACGTAGCCCCTTCCCCCAAGATAAGGTGTCAATTTTTTCTCACAAAGTCACCTAAAATCCCCAAAAACTTTTGGATTTTAATGTTTTTACTCCCCTGTATACAAAAATACCCAAACCCAGCCAATTCACAATCACAGAGTAAAAACATTTTATACCAAACTTTTCCCTCTTGCTCGGTATTATGTTTTGAATGACATCTACCTTTGAACAAAATCAAATACTTGTCATTTAAAAAGTTTTTAAGGATAAAAGTAATGCTGAATTTTTTTTTGAGATAATAAAAACTTTCAATCTTGTATAACCTGTCACTTCTGTCGGGCCTGGTTTTTTTTTGTAAAAGAAGTACAACATACGAAAAAGATAGAAAACCTTTCACTGGTATGATTTCATAAAACTGGGAAAAATTACGATCTGGGGCCAGTTGTTTTTATATTAGCTTAAGACGTGAGGCAAACATTTTTGTTGCAAAAAGCAAATACATTTCTGAACAGTCTCTTTTCCACCTTGATTTGACGTGGTGATAAGATGATTGCCATGTTACTAAAAATACTTATTATTTTCCCTGAAATAATTTCCATCAATGGCTGGCAAGAAAAATTAAAATTTTTTCCGTTTTCATTGGCCAGGGTTTCCAAAGGGGGAAAAGTAGTAGAACCCACTTGAAGTTCAAATGGGGGGTTTGGGAACAAAATTTGGGGATTTTGCTGCCAACCCACATACGGGTTTGCTGGGGGATACTGGACATCATGGGCGGTTGGCGGGGGTTGTGGTTTTGGGGCTGGTGGCTGGCGCTGGCTTTGTCCTTAACTACGAGTCAGCGCGGGGGCCCCGCGTGGCCTGGTGAGTCACGCAGGCGGTGCCCTACTCACCACTAACACCCCAAATGATGCCTGGGGTCTATCCTGCCAAGTGTAGCCACATCACCCTCACTATCACTACCTAAAACGGGTTTTGGGGCCCCCGGGATGTACCCGGGATGTACTCCCCCCCCGGGCACGAAAAGGGGTACACTACCCACGCAGCGGGGCAAACTACCGACGCTCATGGGGAAAATTGATTCCCACTATCACACCAAAAGATCTCAGCGCAATAAAATCACAGTCCACGTCATATCACATTACTGAATCAGAGGCTGGCCCCGGGAAAATATTTGTTTTTTTCTTCGATAGGAAAACCACCCTGAGTCACGAGTTTCCCACACCCGAGTAAAGGTTGAGATCGTCAGGGGTTTTCTGCACTTTTTCGATACCTGGTCATTCTTTTTCGGGCACTAATGATAAAGCCGTAAATTCCTTCTTTAATTCCCCAGTGGCAAACTTCAATAGGAAGGGGAGTCCCAAATTTTTCCCGGGGGTGAGAGCTGACTTGCGACGAGCTGGTGAACAAGGGTAACTGAGCCGGCATTCCCACAATGCATGCGGGCGCCTAGATTTTTTGTTTTTTGGCCCACCCACCAGCAGCCCGTTCTCTCACATGTGGCCATGAGCTTCGCGCTAAAATTTTACAGCACTAGAATTTTTGGGGTAGATCTACAGTTTGGACGCTCAACATAAAGCCGTTTACTACGGACGGACCAAAGGGGTTTAAATGGAGAATTTTTTTTTTTTGGGGGGGGAGCAAATGGGACTGAAAAAGTAATACAAAATTTAATAGCAGGGAAAAAGGGCCTTTTTTGTACATGGTTAGGTGAAGGACTCTCGAGGGGTCCCCTTGTTATAAAAGGCTTATTAAAAACAAAATTATATTTACCAAAAAAAACCTTAACATAGCATCGGCCCCATTGGTGTTTTTTGTTTTTTTTTAAAATTTTGTTGGGGTGTGGGGGGTGGGGGGGTTGTGTTTTTCTAAGCGGGGTGGAAAAACACAATTAAAATTTTTCAATAAATTTTTCAAAATTTTTAATTTTTAACTTGCTATACTACCCCCACCCCTTAAAAATAAAATTTTTAAAATTAACTGACAACTATCGTCAATTATTTTTATACCTATTCTTTCCTAATCTATCTGTCTATATTACTTCTTTTATCTGTCTATATCTCTGTCTATATCTATCTGTTTTTATCTCTACCTATATCTGTCTATATCTCTGTCTGTCTATTCCAAGAGAGTGAGAGCGGCAGCAGGATCAACCAGGCTGGGTGACAGTTGCTGGGGAAGGTGATAATTGTTACAATATAGTGAGAGAAGCAGTGAGGATAAACCAGGTAGTGTAGCACCAGAAAGTAAAACTGGTTCATGGTTGATGATGGTGACAATTGTTATAGACTTTTGTTTTCTTCATGTACTGCATAGATGACAGGGCGTGTACGGAGACCAGTGACAGAAACCCACGACCCCATCACCACCACAAAGGTACAAAAATACAGGACGTGAGAGGCACTGTAATAGGCCTACTTGCTCATGCTAGGGAAGTCCTTTTCACAAACTATCTCCCTTCCTGTGTTAGTTTAACAATTATTAAAGTTACTCAAGGTTGTGGGTTTAATAACATTACTTTGCACAACTCTCTTACCAAGTCAATGTTTCCCTTTACTTCTTAATAAATATAAAATTATTTATTTTAATTTCATTCTTGTTATTTGTCTTGGTTAGATATTTTTACCTGTTAATAAATAGTTACCATTTGAATAATATATATATATATATATATATATATATATATATATATAAAATATATATATATATATATATATATATTATATAATTATATATATATAATATATACGAAGGTCACCCTCCAGTACCCAGCCCCCAGGCTGTGGCCCACCTCCAGTCCCCAAAACCCAAGGCTGTGGTCACCCTCCAGTACCCAGCCACCAGGCTGTGGTCACCCTCCAGTACCCAGCCACCAGGCTGTGGTCACCCTCCAGTACCCAGACACCAGGCTGTGGTCACCCTCCAGTACCCAGACACCAGGCTGTGGTCACCCTCCAGTACCCAGCCACCAGGCTGTGGTCACCCTCCAGTACCCAGCCACCAGGCTGTGGTCACCCTCCAGTACCCAGCCACCAGGCTGTGGTCACCCTCCAGTACCCAGCCACCAGGCTGTGGTCACCCTCCAGTACCCAGCCACCAGGCTGTGGTCACCCTCCAGTACCCAGCCACCAGGCTGTGGTCACCCTCCAGTACCCAGCCACCAGGCTGTGGTCACCCTCCAGTACCCAGCCACCAGGCTGTGGTCACCCCCAGTACCCAGCCACCAGGCAGTGGTCAACCCTCCAGTACCCGCCACCAGGCTGTGGTCACCCCAGTACCCAGCCACCAGGCTGTGGTCACCCTCCAGTACCCAGCCCCAGGCTGTGGTCACCCCCCCAGTACCCAGCCACCAGGCTGGGGTCACCCTCCAGTACCCGCCACCAGGCTGTGGTCACCCTCCAAAACCCAGCCACCAGGCTGTGGTCAACCCTCCAGTACCCAGCCACCAGCTGTGGTCACCCCCCCAGTACCCAGCCACCAGGCGGGGGGTCACCCTCCAGTCCCCAGCCACCAGGCTGTGGTCACCCTCCAGTACCCAGCCACCAGGCTGTGGTCACCCTCCAGTACCCAGCCACCAGCCTGTGGTCACCCTCCAGTACCCAGCCACCAGCCTGTGGTCACCCTCCAGAAACCCAGCCCCCAGGCTGTGGTCACCCTCCAGTACCCAGCCCACCAGGCGGGTGGTCCCCCCTCCAGTACCCAGCCACCAGGCTGTGGTCACCCTCCAGTACCCAGCCACCAGGCTGTGGTCACCCTCCAGTACCCAGCCACCAGGCTGTGGTCACCCTCCAGTACCCCAGCCACCAGGCTGGGGGTCACCCTCCAGTACCCAGCCACCAGGCGGGTGGTCACCCTCCATTTACCCAGCCACCGGGCTGTGGTCACCCTCCAGTACCCAGCCACCAGGCTGTGGTCACCCTCCAGTACCCAGCCACCAGGCTGTGGTCACCCTCCAGTACCCAGCCACCAGGCTGTGGTCACCCTCCAGTACCCACCCAAACGGCTGTGGTCACCCTCCAGTACCCAGCCACCAGGCTGTGGTCACCCTCCAGTACCCAGCCACCAGGCTGTGGTCACCCTCCAGTACCCAGCCACCAGGCTGTGGTCCCCTCGTACCCAGCCCCAGGCTGTGGTCACCCTCCAGTACCCAGCACCAGGCTGTGGTCACCCTCAGTACCCAGCCACCAGGCTGTGGTCACCCTCCAGTTACCCAGCCACCAAGGCTGTGGTCACCCCCCAGTACCCGGGCCACCAGGCTGTGGTCACCCTCCAGTACCCAGCCACCAGGCTGTGGTCACCCTCCAGTACCCAGCCACAAGGCTGTGGTCACCCTCCAGTACCCAGACACAAGGCTGTGGTCACCCTCCAGTACCCAGCCACCAGGCTGTGGTCACCCTCCAGTACCCAGCCACAAGGCTGTGGTCACCCTCCAGTACCAGACACATGGCGTGGTACCCCTCCAGTACCCAGCCACCAGGCTGTGGTCACCCTCCAGTACCCAGCCACCAGGCTGTGGTCACCCTCCAGTACTCACCTGGCTGTTGAGTTTAGCCTCCACATGCTTGAGGATGATGATGGAGGACTGGGACTGCCGGAGTACATCCTCCACCACCAGTCTCTCAAAAGCGGTGAGTACATGACGAGGAATCCTCCTCGTCATGGCTGAGTACACCTTCCCAGCCGCCATCACTGTTTACCTCAGCACGTGTACTCTGTTGGGTGTTAGGGTTCCTCCAGCCAGAGTACTGTGTTGGGTGTTAGGGTTCCTCCAGCCAGAGTACTGTGTTGGGTGTTAGGGTTCCTCCAGCCAGAGTACTGTTTTGGGGTGTTGGGGTTTTCCTCCAGCCAGAGTACTGTGTTGGGTGTTAGGGTTCCTCCAGCCAGAGTACTGTGTTGGGTGTTAGGGTTCCTCCAGCCAGAGTACTGTGTTGGGTGTTAGGGTTCCTCCAGCCAGAGTACTGTGTTGGGTGTTAGGGTTTTCTTCCAGCCGGGAGTACTGTGTTGGGTTTTAGGGTTCCTCCAGCCAGAGTACTGTTTTGGGGTGTTGGGGTTCCTCCAGCCAGAGTACTGTTTTGGGGGTGTTAGGGTTCCTTCCCAGCCAGAGTACTGTGTTGGGTGTTGGGGTTCCTTCAGCCAGAGTACTGTGTTGGGTTTTTAGGGTTCCTCCAGCCAGAGTACTGTTTGGGGGTGTTAGGGTTCCTCCAGCCAGAGTACTTGTTGGGGGTGTTGGGGTTTCCCCTCCAGCCAGAGTACTGTTTTGGGGTGTTAGGGTTCCTCCAGCCAGAGTACTGTGTTGGGTGTTAGGGTTCCTTTCCCAGCCGAGTACCTGTTGGGTGTTAGGGTTCCTCCAGCCAGAGTACTGTGTTGGGTGTTAGGGTCTCCGCCAGCAGTACTGTGTTGGGTGTTAGGGTTCCTCCAGCCAGAGTACTCTGTTGGGTGTTAGGGTTCCTCCAGCCAGAGTACTGTGTTGGGTGTTAGGGTTCCTCCAGCCAGAGTACTGTGTTGGGTGTTAGGGTTCCTCCAGCCAGAGTACTGTGTTGGGTGTTAGGGTTCCTCCAGCCAGAGTACTGTGTTGGGTGTTAGGGTTCCTCCAGCCAGAGTACTGTGTTGGGTGTTAGGGTTCCTCCAGCCAGAGTACTGTGTTGGGTGTTAGGGTTCCTCCAGCCAGAGTACTGTGTTGGGTGTTAGGGTTCCACCAACCAGAGTACTGTGTTGGGTGTTAGGGTTCCTCCAGCCAGAGTACTGTGTTGGGTGTTAGGGTTCCTCCAGCCAGAGTACTGTGTTGGGTGTTGGGTTCCCTCCAGCCAGAGTAACTGGTGTTGGGTTTTTGGTTCCCCCAGCCAGAGTACTGTGTTGGGTGTTAGGGTTCCCTCCAGCCAGAGTACTGTGTTGGGTGTTGGGGTTCCTCCAGCCAGAGTACTGTTTTGGGGTGTTAGGGTTCCTCCAGCCAGAGTACTGTGTTGGGTGTTAGGGTTCCTCCAGCCAGGTACTGTGTTGGGTGTTAGGGTTCCTCCAGCCAGAGTACTTGTTGGGTGTTGGGTTCCTCCAGCCAGAGTAACTGTGTTGGGTGTTAGGGTTCCTCCAGCCAGAGTACTGTGTTGGGTGTTAGGGTTCCTCCAGCCAGAGTACTGTGTTGGGTGTTAGGGTTCCTCCAGCCAGAGTACTGTGTTGGGTGTTGGGTTCCTCCAGCCAGAGTACTGTGTTGGGTTTTTAGGGTTCCACCACCAGAGTACTGTGTTGGGTGTTAGGGTTCCTCCAGCCAGAGTACTGTGTTGGGTGTTAGGGTTCCTCCAGCCAGAGTACTGTGTTGGGTGTTGGGGTTTTCCTCCAGCCAGAGTACTGTTTGGGTGTTAGGGTTCCTCCAGCCAGAGTACTGTGTTGGGTGTTAGGGTTCCTTCAGCCAGAGTACTCTGTTGGGTGTTAGGGTTCCTCCAGCCAGAGTACTCTGTTGGGTGTTAGGGTTCCTCCAGCCAGAGTACTGTGTTGGGTGTTAGGGTTCCTCCAGCCAGAGTACTCTGTTGGGTGTTATGGTTCCACCAACCAGAGTACTGTGTTGGGTGTTAGGGTTCCTCCAGCCAGAGTACTGTGTTGGGTGTTAAGGTTCCAGCAACCAGAGTACTGTGTTGGGTGTTAAGGTTCCAGCAACCAGAGTACTGTGTTGGGTGTTAAGGTTCCAGCAACCAGAGTACTGTGTTGGGTGTTAAGGTTCCAGCAACCAGAGTACTGTGTTGGGTGTTAAGGTTCCAGCAACCAGAGTACTGTGTTGGGTGTTAAGGTTCCAGCAACCAGAGTACTGTGTGGGTGTTAAGGTTTCACAAACTAGAGTACTGTTTGGGTGTTAAGATTCCACCAACCAGAGTACTGTGTTGGGTGTTAAGGTTTCACAAATAGAGTATGTTTGGGGTTAAGATTCCACCAACCAGAGTACTGTGTTGGGTGTTAAGATTCCACCAACCAGAGTACTGTTTGGGTGTTAAGGTTCCACCAACCAGAGTACTGTTTACCTGGAGAGTTTACCTGGAGAGAGTTCCGGGGGTCAACGCCCCCGCAGCCCGGTCTGTGACCAGGCCTCCTGGTGGATCAGAGCCTGATCAACCAGGCTGTTGCTGCTGGCTGCACGCAAACCAACGTACGAGCCACAGCCCGGCTGATCAGGAACTGACTTTAGGTGCTTGTCCAGTGCCAGCTTGAAGACTGCCAGGGGTCTGTTGATAATCCCCCTTATGTATGCTGGGAGGCAGTTGAACAGTCTTGGGCCCCTGACACTTATTGTATGGTCTCTTTAAAGTGCTAGTGACACCCCTGCTTTTTTATTGGGGGGATGTTGCATCGTCTGCCAAGTCTTTTGCTTTCGTAGTGAGTGATTTTCGTGTGCAAGTTCGGTACTAGTCCCTCTAGGATTTTTCCAGGTGTATATAATCATGTATCTCTCCCTCCTGCGTTCCAGGGAGTACAGGTTCAGGAACTTCAAGCGTTCCCAGTAATTGAGGTGTTTTATCTCCGTTATGCGCGCCGTGAAGGTTCTCTGTACATTTTCTAGGTCAGCAATTTCACCTGCCTTGAAAGGTGCTGTTAGTGGGGGCAGCAATATTCCAGCCTAGATAGAACAAGTGACCTGAAGAGTGTCATCATGGGGTTGGGCCCCCCTAGTTTTGAAGGTTCTCATTATCCATCCTGTCATTTTTCTAGCAGATGCGATTGATACAATGTTATGGTCCTTGGGAAGGGTGAGATCCTCTGTGTGGATGTTAAGGTTCCACCAACCAGAGTTCTGTTTGGGGGGCTAAGGTCCCACCACCAGAGTACTGTTTGGGTGTTAAGGTTCCAGCAACCAGAGTACTGTTTGGGTGTTAAAGTTCCAGCAAACCCGAGTACTGTTTGTGTGTTTAAAGTTCCAGCAAACCAGAGCACTGTTTGGGTGTAAGGTTCCAGCAAGCAGGGGTGTCACTAGCACGTTAAGAGACCATACAATAAGGGTCAGGGCCCGAGACTGTTCAACTGCTCCCAGCACACATTAAGGGGGATTACCAACAACCCCTGGCAGTCTTCAAGCTGGGCACTGGACAAGCACCTAAAGTCAGTTCCTGATCAGCCGGGCTGGGGCTCGTCGTTGGTTTGCGTGCAAACCAGCAGCAACAGCCTGGTTGATCAGGCGCTGATCCACCAGGAGGCCTGGTCACAGACCGGGGCCCCGGGGGCGTTGACCCCGAAACCTCCCCCAGGTAAACTCCAGGTAAAATGTTTGGGTGTTAAGGTTTTCCCGCAACCAAGTGCTGTTTGGGTGTTTTAAAGGGTTTCCCCCTTTAAACCCGAGTAAATGTGTTGGGTGTTAAGGTTTTCCCGCAACCAGAGTACTGTTTGGATGTTAAGGTTCACCAAAACCCGAGTACTGTGTTGGATGTTAAGGTTCCAGCAAAACCCGAGTACTGTTTGGGTGTTAAGGTTCGAGCAACGAGAGTACTGTTTTGGGTTTTTAAGATTCCACCAACCAGAGTACTATTTGGGTGTTAAGGTTCCCGCAAAAAAGAGACTGTTTGGGTGTTAAGGTTCTGTCAATCAGAGTACTGTTTGGGTGTTAATGTTCCAGCAACCCAGAGTACTGTTTGGGTGCTAAGGTTCCCAACAATCAGAGTTCTGTGTTGAGTGTTAAGGTTCCAACAAAACCCGAGTACTGTTTGGGTGTTAAGGTTCCAGCAACCAGGTACTGTTTGGGTGTAAGGTTCCAGCAACCAGAGAACTGTTTGGGTGTTAAGGTTCCGCAACCAGAGAACTGTTTGGGTTTTTAAGGGTTCCAACAACCAGAGTACTGTTTGGGTGTTAAGTTTCCAACAACCAGAGTACTGTTTGGGTATCAAGGTTCCAGCAACCAGACAACTGTTTGGGTTTTTAAAGGTTCCAGCAACCATAAAACTGTTTGGGTTTTTAAGGTTCCCAGCAACCAGAGAACTGTTTGGGTGTTAAGGTTCCAGCATCCGAGGCTGTTTGGGTGTTAAGGTTCCAGCAACCAGAGTACTGTGTTGGATGTAGGTACCTGGTAATTAGTCCCCTTTACACTTGGAGTCACTATTCCTTATCAAGCAAATAGGTTCCTAGGTGTTAGTGGACTGGTGTGGGTGGCATCCGGGGGGGACAAGACTGAAGGATCAAAATGGAAATAAGACAGACAGTCCTTGATGTCACACTGACTTCTTTGAATTACCCTATTCATATTCATATTCATATTCATATTCATATTCATATCACTCGCCCATAACACAAGACACAGATCTCTTTTGATGTATCTGTGTCCATATCACACGTAAAAACTCTATGCACATAAAGGGACCCACAATGTTCTGGAAAATGAATTCCAATTTTGGGGCCCTTTATGTGCATAGAGTTTTTAAACGCGGGATACTAAAAAAGGATCTGTGTCTTGTGTTATGGTCAGTGTCTCTTTAAAGGTTGGGGGGAGAAGTTTGAGGGGAAGGTTTATGTTTGTGTGTATTGTTCTATGTATGTAGTAGGCACTGAATAAGTATGGATGTATTAATGGTGAGCAGATTTAGACTTTGAAAATTAGTGGAGTATGCTGGCGGCAGTGGGAATTTTGTTTATCATTCTGTTTTCAGCTTTTTGCTGGGTTATTTTCGGTCTTAGGTGATTTAATGTTGTTGACCCCCATGCACAAATTCATATGTGAGATAAGGGTAGATGAGTGAGTGATACAGTGCCAGGAGAGCTGATGTGGAACATAGTACCGTATCTTTGATAGAAAATCTTAG